CCCTTTTTCCATTAGTGGCATACTCATTCAGCTCTTATCTTTATATTCCAATAAGTTATTTTACTCTCCCTGTTTAACAAAAAAAAGAACAATGTAAAAACTCTTGCATACCTTGTTTGATTGGAGTTTTTTTTTTATTTATCATTGTAAAACCAAGGACAATTTATAACATTTTTGGATATAGCTGTTACAGGACAATTTGTCTTTAAGCAGGGATAAATTACTCAAAAAGAAATGAATTTTAGATAGTTTTCCCTTTAAGTCAAATATATTGTTGTTTAAATAAACAACTTCTTTAGCCCTGGCTGATATGGCTCAGTGGGTTTAGTGCCAGCCTGTGAACTGGAATGTCGATAGTTTAATTCCCTGCCAGGGCACATGCCTGAGTTGGAGCCCAGGTCTTCAGATGGGGCATGCATATTTCTCTCCCTTTCACCTTCCCTTCTTCTTTCTCTCAAAATAAATAAATAAAATCTTAAAAAAAATAAACTTCTTGTTTAAAATTTTAAAAAATAAGAGCAAAACAATACCTGATGTTTTCTATGGTGTCCTGACAGATCTGGAGAGATGGAGCACTGACCTTGCCGCTATGCTTATTCCTAACAGGGAACATGTTATTAATATTGATCAAAGGGGTTTTTTTGTAATGTTTAAATCATTTACAAAAATAATGTGTTCCTCAGGCTGACAGTGACCAGAGGGGAGAGGGGAGGGGATTATAGGGGGAAAGGGTGAAGGGTTTGCAGGAACAATTATAAAGGACACATGGACAGTAACAAGGAGGGGTGGAAACAGGGGATGGAGGTGGGGAGGGCTGGGGTGGTGGGGAGGGGTGGGGGGGAAAGGCAGAAAACTGTACTTGAACAACAATACAAAAGTTTATAAAAAATAAAATATTATTGAATGTTATTAAAATTTAAAAAAAAAGAAATGTGCACTTGAAACCTATATTTTAAAACTAATGTGTTCTTACCTTGTATAGTTAGATTTTTAAAAAAGAAAAAAAGAAGGCTGGGAAAAAAGCACTTAAAAATCCTTTAAGAAAATGAAGTATGATCTGTAACTAAAGACTCCCCAAAGCATCCTGGCTGGTGTGGTTCAGTGGATTGAGCACTGGCTTGTTAATGGGAAGATCATTGGCTCAATTCCCAGTCAGGGCACGTGCCTGGGTTATGGGCCAGGTCCCTAGTTGGGGGCCTGTGAGAAGCATCCTATCGGTGTATGTGTTGCATGTTTCTCTCCCTCTCTTTGTCACTTCCTTCCCTTCTCTCTAAAAGTAAATAAATGTAACATTTAAAGACTCCCCAAAGCAACAAAACTCTTCTTTTCCTTCCCAGGCTCCAGTTGCTTCTCTCAAACTCAGTGTTGGGGCTGACAAGTCCCATTGTCCCCTGAGGATATGGCTGCAGGTGGCACACTCCAAAATCCTCACCTGGTTTTGAGATAGAGGACACCCTCTCCAGCATTCCCTGCTTTCAGCAGGACTATAAAAACTCCCATCAGAGAACCCCAGCATGGGGAGAAAAGAGTGGATAGACTCTCTGAAATCAGGTTCCATACAGATTTTTTCCCAGAGAAAAAAGACTAACAAGAGACTGTGGCCTCCCAAGGGTTTTCCCACCAAAAATTCCTCCCGCTCAGCAACCTCTGGGCAGCAGCAAAGCCCAGTTTTTCTCAAGGGCACACCCACACATGCCACATGACTGTGCACTAGCCTCAGGGTAGAGACAGGAGCCCTCATACACCTTTTCTGCTGCTGTTCTGAGAACCTCTCTCAGGAAAAACTGGGGGACATGGAAACTTTTTGAGGCCACTTTGGGGCTCCTTCCCTACCCCCAGGCACCTCCCCAATGACTCTCTTTCCTCACTGCTCAGCCTAAGGAGTCCTCTCTCTGCAGCTGAACAGTATTCAGCCTCTTGGACCAATACCCAAGACAGAGAGTTCCACAGCCATAAAGCCAGGGTCAATGTCCATTTTCCACACTGGCTGGTTTGTAGGTCTCAGTGTATTGTGGCTTTCTCTTCCCCATCCCAGGCCTGGCAAGGGCAAAAAGCACCAGTTTGTTTCTGGGTCAGTCATCAAGCAAAGAGCGATTGCCCATGTGGGTAAGCCAAGCCTTTCTCCTAAGTCTGCCTCAGTGGCCAACCCTTAGAATCCAGATGGGGCCCTGGAGGGTCAAGGGTGGATCACCACTCAGAACTGCAAATAGGACTTTAGACTCCAGAGGCTGTTGATTTAGTTTTCATGCACGTGTTAATCCTTCCATTCATCAAACCTATGTGGACTTAAGACTCTGCCCTGTGTGCTTGCACTGTGCTAGATTATAATCTAGTAGAAAAGAATCAACAGGTGCACAGATATCTATCTCTACTATACAGAGGAGTAAAGCAAATGCCCACCCCACCCTCAGCCCCACCTAAAAAAAGAGGCTAAAAAATTACTCGCACTTGGATAACTGGTCAACAAACTTTATTGAGCACGTATTAGGTATTAGGTGTTTCATGTATTGACCATATATTGATCCTCACAATAATCTTCAGAGGTAGGTATTATGTCATTTACACTTGAGGAAAAAATACAGAGATTTGCCTAAGGTCACACAGCTACTGGGTAACAAGGCTAAGATTCAAAGCCCACGTTCTTTCTCCTGACCTTACCTACAGGCCCAGGATAAGGACTACATCCCTTTCACAGAAAGCTACCAGGGAGAGCCAAAATCCCCTGGGTCCTCTCCTCCATTGTCCCCACCCTCATTCCTTCTTCATTCATTCATTCATTCATCCATCCATCAATCAGTCAGTTAAACACAATTATTGAGCACCTGTTATGTACAAAGTTCTTGGAGACAGGAGTGTAGGGAACCAATCTGTGTGAAATGGAGATTGTAGCTCAGCCCTACTGAAAAACCCAATGTGCATGTTGTGGCATGCAGGAGCCAAACCACAGTTCAGTTCTCCCATGGAAAATCAGGCCTGCATTATACCTAGGCTGCTTTGTGACTTGCTCTTCCTAAAACTCCCTCACCCTGAGTTGAAGTAGCAAATGCTTACTGTATATCTTTAAAGTAACTTCCTGAAGTCTGTGCTAGTTCTCCCAAGGATTGAAGTGTAGCCAGACCTATTACTCTTATCATTCCCTTGCATTTGCAACATATTTTCCTTGTTAATCTGTAGGAAATAATAATCGGTAACATCCCTTCTGTTGCTATCTGTAAAAAGTAATTGCCTAAAGCAAACCTAAGTATAAAGAATGAAAACCTTCTTTGATGTATGCTATTAGAGAGCCAATAAAAGCCTATCAAGGCAAAAGTTGGAGGGCTCTCCTTTTGAGAGAGTAGCTATGCCATCCCTTTTCCTTCACAGGACTTGGTAGTCCATGTAAATTTGTCTCATATCTCATCTGTAACGCTGTGGACACTGCTAGTCAGTGTCCACATCAGCTGGTGCCCGGAGCAAGGACCCAGGGCTATGAGCCGTCGTTGCAGACAACACACAAACTTGGTGGGAGTGTGCGCACATCAGCCCAGGTAAGGGCCAACAACAGCGAGTGCTTTTTGGTTAGGTCATAGGGTGTGTTGGGTTTCCTAGGAAAAGGGTTTTCTTCCTAGGTCACCCTCTCTTGCAATTGCTTTGCAACTGTACTTTCTTCAGTAGCAAGAGCCTTGCTCTCTCTCCCAAGTATTTGCCACAATCTCATGGGCACGGGTCGAGCAGTTAAGAGCCACAAGGGCGCTTGTCACTAGAAGTCACCTGTGAGAGGATAAGTTGGAACGAGGACTGGGTCAGAACATTAGCTTTCCTGCCGGCCACAAACAAAAGTCCACACAATGAGAGGAACACTGTAAAAACATTCACAAGCCCATCCCTGCAGCACAACCCCCAACTAGGTCTAGGCCTGGGAGAAAAAGCAACGATTTTCCCTTTAATCAGCTTTAAAAACCTCAACTAGTTACAGGGCTATCTATAAGCACATCAGCCAATTGTTTCTTTCAAGCTGCCTCTTGCGATCCTTACGATTTTGCCTTTTCCCTCCACCCGCCTGCATAAGAAAAAGCAGATAGTGAATTAGTATTTCTGTTTCAACTGGACTTCCAAGATTGCTTTCCAGAAGAACTTAGTGTTAGTAACAGGTTTAGGAACCTCCAAAACAACTTAATCTAACTTGTGGCTTGTCTGGGGAAGCGAGGTATAAAGGTTGGTCACCTAGCACTTCTAGCTCCCCCTCGCAGTCTTAAAAGCTTGGGGAGGACCCGAGACTCATAAGCAGGGTTGGGGTACAAGGAAGTCTGGTACTCCCCTCCCTGACTGTCTTCCACCAACAGCACATTCTGACCCACTATATTCTTTTCACTAGCAAGAAGTGGGATTTAAAGGTGCAGATGGAGTGAAACTGAAACTGAAACTGGTTTTGTAATCGACGTGCTTGTGGAGGGAGGAATTTCAGAAAAGGTTCTTTTATTTGTTAAAAAATGTTCTTTAAAGGTTTCTATGAATCCTTAACCATGGGGAATGGGCTCTCTAAAAAACAAGAGCAATGTTTTAAGCTAATTCGGCAGCTTTTTAAGGCTGCTGGATGTCTCCCAGATAAGGGATCTCTAGATTTGGAAATATGGGAAAAAGCAGGGCAGAGAAGCCCTTATAGTCAGGAAAGCTTAGACAAAAAGAGAAAGGGCCAATGGGATGGCCATGGCAGTAGCTCTGGACACCAGCTAGGCCCTTCCCATGGGTTGCCGCAGCTGCAGTGAGCATCACAGCCTCGCCTGGTGAGCCCAGCCAAGGCGCCGGTGTGCATGCGCTCACAGCATGGTGGGGCCTGGTCTTTCTGCCAAGGACTGGCAGCACTGGAGGGTGGAGTTGGTCCCCCTCACCTCCTCCCCTTGCACTGGGGAGCAACCTTTCCCTGAGCCCAGTGCTTGGCACAGGCCCAACCCTCTGGATCCACCCCTGGGGCATGGTTCCATGCAGCTCCTTGCCTTGGCCAGTGCCTAGCAGCAGACTTAGAACTGGCACAGACAGCTCATCATGAAGGGGAGTTCCACCCAGGTCATCTCTGAGGTAAGAGACAACCACCCCTGCACTTTGGGAGGCTGCTGGCATGCTTAATTTTGAAAAATGATTTCTATTTTATTTGCATTTCTACACCTAGGATAGGGGGCATTTCTCAGCCCTGCAAAAGTATGTAGACTCTTAAATGTTTTGATCTGGATGGACAAGTTGGACAAATTCGGCCTTATGTCTTTCCTGCCCCACTTAATATCTGGGGCAGAAACCTCCTCATTCTGATGAATGTAAATCACCTGCTCTTGGTGTTAACCCCAGAGGGTTGCAATCTTGAGTGATTTGGCAAACGGATGTTAATCCTAGACCTAGGAACTACCAAGTCCTGAGAACAAAAGAATAATTAACTCGCTGCTCAAACTCAATGCAGCTTGCAGAAATAGCAGGGGGCCTGTCTTTTCAAACAGACACTTACTCAGGAGCTCCACAGGCCCCTCCACTCACTGGGGACTCAGCAAAGAATGTTAGAGCTTAAGGAAGGAAGCCACTCCACAAGAAATCAAGACTAAGAATTGCCTGAGATATATTACAAAAACCACTCAGGTTTTCTTAGAAAAATGGGAAATTGGTCATAAAATAGGTATCCCCCAGGAATTTAACCATGCTAGCAATATATACATAAAATTTTTGAATTGTGATGATAATTTAAAGTCACGCATAGACAAACACTTTGGACAAAACAGGCCTGCAGTCCCACATCCCTTGGTGTTATACAAAGACCCATTAGGGGAGGGAAGATGGGAAGGCCCAGTTAAACTATTAACTTGGGGAAGTGGGTATGCTTGTGTTTACTCTCCAGAAAATCCTTTGGAACTGATAGTGAAGAGGGTGGAGCCATATCACAGAAAGGGTTTCCCCAGCCACGACCCAACTCCACCCCATTGGACTTTTTCGATCCAGACTTCTCTAAGCTGTGTGTCACCCCCCTGAAGTGGAATTCCAGCCAGCACTCCTGGAGCAATATTCAACATCACCTAAGAGGGACTTTTTCTATCAACTTAAATTGATAAATTGGAGCTAGAGCTACATCAGCAGCTGCAGGACATTCAATGCTTGATCAAGCAGGAAGTTTTTCAGACCCTCCGTGATAATTTTAGCTGGCTAAACCCCCCAAAAACTAGTTTGATGAACTTAATCTGAGAGTGTGGGTCTTTGAACCACTTGTTGCTTACTGATTACAATAATGCTCTGTGTACTTTGGTGCATTTGGAAATTATTTTCCCAGGGTCATATAAGAGACCAGCAAGTAGCAAACTTTGTAGAATCTATAGCAGTCCTAACTAAAAACAAGGGGGAAAATGTAGGGAACTGATCTGCGTGGAATGACAATTGTAGCTCAGCCCTATTGAAAACCCCAGTATGCATGTTGTGGCACGCAGGAGCCAAACCCACAGGTCAGTTCTCCCATGGAAAATCAGGCCTGCATTATACCTAGGCTGCTTTGTGACTTGCTCTTCCTAAAACTCCCTCACCCTGAGTTGAAGCAGCAAATGCTTACTGCATATCTTTAAAGTAACTTCCTGAAGTCTGTGCTAGTTCTCCCAAGGATCGAAGTGTAGCCAGACCTATTACTCTTATCATTCCCTTGCATTTGCAACATATTTTCCTTGTTAATCTGTAAGAAGTAATCGGTAACATCCCTTCTGTTGCTATCTGTAAAAAGTAATTACCTAAAGCAAACCTAAGTATAATGAATGAAAACCTTCTTTGATGTATGCTATTAGAAAGCCAGTAAAAGCTTGTCAAGGCAAGGGTTGGCAGGCTCTCCTCTTGAGAGAGGGCTGGGTGGCTCCAAGGCACTCTCTCCTTAAGAGAGTAGCAGTGCCACCCCTTTTCCTCCACAGGACTCGGTAATCCATGTGAACTTGTCTCGTATCTCATCCATAATGCCAAGGACATTGCTGGCCAGTGTCCGCATCACAGGAGAGAAAAGATGAATCATGAATGACTTTGTTACCAAAGATTCTCATAGACTAGCGTAAGAGTATAGCGCATAAATAACAACAACACAGGGTAAAAAATAAGAATGCTAGATGAAGTTTAAGGGAGGAAAAAATTACTTTAACTTAGGAGAAGCTTTGTGCAGAAAGGAGAAATGAGATGGCATGGAGGATATTTAGATTTTAGTCCAGCACAGCTGTGAGGGAAGGGCTGCCAAGTCTTAGGAAACACCTTGAGCAAAATTGAGGAGGCATGAAGGGAAGGAGGGAGCAGGAAGAGAGGAGACCACAGGAGTTCATGGGGTTGGAAGACAGTATACCTAAAGGGGAGGAAATAGTGAGACCTAAGTTTGGGGAAACACAATAGACCGTCTATAAAAATTTATTACTTCAAAAAAAAAAAAGCAATGCATTTTGACCAGATTACTGAGACCTATAGTGCCAAACTCCAAGTCTGGCACTTGTTTCTTTGCTAACAGGGAGCCTCATATCCTCCTTTGGTGGCCAAGCTTAGTAGCCGCTTCATCATGGCTGCTCTCTGCCTTCTCTTCAGAGCTGATCCCACAGTGTCAGAAGCCCTGTCCCTCACTGCTGTGTCATCATTTACTCTCTTTCAAGAGCCTGGCCTACACCCAGCAGCCTCCATACTGCAACCCAGAAAGCTTCCTTTCTGGGGCAGCTGGACGAGTCATTTGGAAACCTCTCTCTGATGAGTTCTGTGATGAATGTGCTGATATGACAGGTGGGCCAGGCTCACCATGACCCCAAGCACTGAGCAGTGATGAGTTTCATTGGGCCATCACCTCTGCCTTGGGCCTGGTTCACTTTCACTGCCAGAGGTGGTGTACATGCCATTGCACAATCCTGCCTTGGCTAGTTCCTGCCTTTGCCTTTCAAGGTTGCTCTGGGCCACCCAAGGCCAGACCTCTGAACCTACCTCCTTGCTGACTACAGTTCCTTCCTCTAATCTCACTTAGAAGCTCTCATGGGAGAGATGAACTTTTTGGCACTTTGCCTCTCTTCTAAAACAAGCCATGGGTAACTACCCGACTAGGGGCCAGTTCATCTCTTGCGCTTTGGAGGGAAGAGTGCTGTGTCCAGAGTCAAAAGATCTGGTTAGGCTTCCTATCCAACTGGACAGACTTGTGGAACTCATGAGAGTTACTGAGCCTTGGTTTTCTCATAAGTAAAATAGGCTAAGAACTGGCTGGCTTACTCCCCAGGCCTCAGATGAGGCTCTCCTAAGACAAAGGATGTGAAAGGTCTTCATAAACTGTAAATAACTGGGACTATTATGGTTGTGGTTACTGGTTTATGAAGATTGAATTCATGTTATTATTTGCTCTCTTGGCACCCAGTTCTTTTCCTTCATAGCACTTACAGATTTTTATAATTATAAGTTATCATTATTACTGAACAAACAATTTATTTGTTTAATGCCACCTCCTTTCCCGAGTGTAAACTATGATAGGGCAGGACTCATGTTTCTCATTACTTTTCTAGCATCTAGTTCAATGCCTGGAATGTAATGGAGGCTTAAGAAATAATTAACTGATAAGTAATTTGAGGACCCACTGCCCATCCGTGTCACTAGAGACATTTACTAGGCTGGTCTGTCTTGTTCACTGCTAAGCCCCAGGATATAGCAGGCAATTAAGAAATGTTTTTTGGAAGTTGAAATGAATGAACCTTCTTAAATTCCAGTTTTGTTGTTAAGTTCTGTTGCTGAAGAATCTGCCACACTTCCCACTTGCCCTATCTGCAGTCCAAATACCCAGGCTGGTTCTCTGTGCCAATCAGCACACTTTTCTTGCCTCTTATCCTTCTCTCATCTTCCTCAGCTCCAGACCAAACCAACTGCCCACCATCCTCTTTCCAAGATAGGCTTGTACCACCTGTAGATCTCTGCTGGGGCTGAGGCCTTCCCTTCCCTTTCCCTCAAAGTCCTGACTAAACTCCCTTCCTTTCCAAATTCCTTTTTAAAAGCGTGTGTATGCCCTGGCTGGTGTGGCTCAGTTGGTTAGAGCATCATCCCATAAACCAAAAGGACACGGATTTAATTCCTGGTCAGGGCATATGCCTAGGTTGTAGGTTGAGTATGGTTGTGGCATATACGAGAGGCACTTGATCAATCTCTTTCTCTGTGTCTCTCTCCCTCCCTCCCTCCCTCCCTTCCCCACTAAGTCCTCAGGTGAGGGTTAAATAAAATAAATAAATAAGTGCATGTTCACATGCCAACAGGTTTGTAATATAAAACATATTTCTTACTATGGGCCATGGTCAAAGTTACTGAGTTACATGGCACGCTAAATGTTAACTAGTAGAGCTTAAGTTCCAACTGTTAGAATGGAGGCTGAGATGGACCAGAGAGTGCCAGAGGTAGGAGCCAGCCAGAGTCTGGAGAGGCATAATCTAAACCTTAGCTGTGCCAGCTTGGGCTCCCATGAAGATGAATGCTCTGGGAGAAACCAGCTGTGAGTTGTGGTACCTGTTGTATGAGGTGCTATCAGTTGTTCTAGAGAGACATGACAGCATTTGTGTGGAAGGGCTGAGACCAGAGCTGGGACAGGCTGGGAACTCCAGGTTGGGATTCCAGCTGTGTCATAGCAAGCCTTCTCTCTGTACCAATCCTATGTAGCCTAGAACAGTGGTTCTCAGAGTGTGGTTCCCAGGTTAGCAACATGAGCAAAATTCTCAGGTCCTACCCCAGACTTCTAGAATCAGAAACTCTGAGGGAGGGCCCAGCAATCTGTATTTAACAAGCCCTCCAGGTGATTCATTCTAAGGCATAAAGTTTGAGAACCACTTTCTTGGCATTCTGTGTTTGGTGTGTCTTAGAATACCAAGGGTCTGGTTTAAATGCAGCCTTGTTGAAAAATAGAAGTGCTGGGGCTCCAAACCAGGCCTTTTGCGATAAAGTTTAGAGTTGTTTCCATAGTTTACCCAACATATTCATGCATAGTAATTATGTGTGAAGGAATGTTGTGTTCATTCTCAATTTGTGTGCCTTCCACACTGCTGAACTTAGCCTGCACTGGGTCCATCAATTCAGTACGT